TCAGAGGGTCTGGTCCATGGTTACTTGTCCCCTACCCTCTTAGAAAGAGCATCATGGTAAGTGAGTGGATGTGTGTGCTTAAGACTGCTCTTCCTGGCAGACAAAAGGCAGAGGAGCAAATATAAGGGACCATGCTAACATGTAGCACCCCAAAGACCTCCTGCCATTAGACCTACCTCCACCTTTTTCTCAGCCTCCTCAAAATGCTGTCAGATATGTAGCAGAAACCACAGAGAGAGAGAGAGAGAGAGAGAGAGAGAGAGAGAGAGAGAGAGAGAGAGAGAGGAGAGAAGTGGAGGGAGAGAGAGTTTAGATGTCAGGATAGACACAACTTCCTACTTGAAAGTGAAGCTTCTAGAATGGTGCACACAATTTATAGTCTCCAAAAAATAAATAGGCCAACCCACAAAATGGATGGAAATTAGAGAATAGTGGCTTTTTAATTTACCTAATTTAGCTTGAAAGAAAAAGGAAGCCTGGGGTGTGTGTCCGTACTTGGCAAGCTGTTTAGCTGTCAAGGTCTCCTCTTCAACATCTTGTTACATCCTTGCTTATATTTACACTGACTATCATAATACCGAGTTTCTCAAGCCTTTCATGACACAGTTTAGAAACAAAAGGAAAGTTTTTTGCTTCTGTCTCAATGTACGTGCTTATAATGATGACCACTTAATTTATTCACTGATTAGTTGTTTCAGTCATTCAATGAAAGGCATGGATTGCACTCCACTAGCTGCTTACCACTCATGCAGAGTCTGGTTGCAAGCAATGCCTTGCTGTAGTGTAGGGCAGTAGTTAGACAGCAGTGCAGACACCGAGAACATTTTTTTTTGTCCTCAAATCAGCTGGTGGTTTTGTCAGAAAACACAAATGGGGTCAAAGGCACACATTATTCTCATTGGAGACAGCTCATCTAAAAGGTTTCTGTTGAGATGCAGTTTCCTGACACTTTGTTTAAGGCATGCAGAAGGATATGAAATATGTGTAGGGCTGTGAGTCTTCTAAGTCACGTTTTGAGGGAAGCTGTGTTTCTGCTGTGTTAATTCTTAGAGAATACTGGGGTCTGTTTGGGTTACTTTTCACTGTCTACAAATCCATGACCTTCTGGTCAAAACATATAGGCTAAAAGTGTTTTGAAACTGAACACATTCAGGATTTTAAACATGTGCTGTGCCAGTTTACTTTCTATTGTGATGATGAACACTGTGATCAAAAGCCACCTGAGGAAGAAAGGGCTTGTTTCAGCTTACAGCTCTCCATTCTTCATAGAGGTAATCCAAGGCAGGAGCCTATAACACTGTTTACTGCATTCCTCTCCATAGCTTGCTCAGCTGGCTGTTTTACACAACCCTGGTCCATCTGCCTAGGAGTACACTGCCCTCAGTGGACTGAACCCTCTAATGTCATTAACAATTAAGAAAATGTTCCACAGACATGCCGATAGGCCAAGCTGATGGAGGCAATTCCTCAACTGAGGTTTCCTTTCTGAGTGACTCTAGTTTGTAACAAGTTGGAAATAAAAACTAACCAATGCATATAATGATACATACACCAGACAGCACATGTATATGAACCTGGGGACACACTTATCAATAATTCTATCCAGTATGCTTACCACTACATAATATATAGCCTATAAATGCCATTGCATGACTCTAGGCCAAGTTCTTCTAATAAATGAATCATAGAGAGACTTGGGGTTTCCCTACTTTTTGTTTTTACTTTAAGTAGTTTTGAAATGCAGTAAGGAATTATGGGCATATACTAGAGAAGACAGTGAATACAAATGTATCTGTAAAAGTTTATTATCTCATTTTTCTTCCACATATCCACAAACATACATTTATATGATTACTAAGATTGAAAGTGATTTCAAGAAATGCCAAGTGAATGGTATAGTGAAGAAATGCTTGTAAGTTTAGAGGAAGGAAAGTGAGCTCACTCTAAGTTGTCAGGGCCTGTAGCATTAGGGTTAGGAAGAATACAGAAAGGTGACACGTGCCTACTGGTAAGAGTCAGTTGATGGCAGGTAATCACAACTTCCCACTATCAAAATGGGAAAACAATCAAAACTGCTATTTAACTTTAGCAATATTAATGTGTAATATTAGCTACTATTGAGATCTATGTTTTCATAAAATGGAAAAACAGCTGTGACAATTTTTGGTACTGCTGCTGCATATGTTATGAGGCTGTCTTTTTCATGGAGATCTACATCAGTTTTATGGTAGTTTGGGGAGGAGCTCTTTTTCAAGACAGACCCTGGCTGTTCTACAACTTACTCTGTTGACTAAGCTGGCCCAGAACTCCAAGATCCACCTGATTCAGTCTCCTGAGTGCTGGGATTAAAGGCATGCACCAGCACCTCCTGCTATTTTAGGGTAATTTTTAAGGAAAATATTGTAGTACTTGGGACTAGGATCCTCAGCACTGGATAGACAATGGAAACATGAACCAGTGTTAGAGTGGGTGTGTGGGTACGAATTTTTGGGCTTAGTTCATATCCCCACCTATTCTGATGTGTTTGGTTGGAAGTTCAATCTGAGCAAGAGATACTAGAATTTAGATGAATGTAATGTTTAAATACAAAACCTACTGGTTTTGAGTGGCTAACACTTCTGGATTTAGGTTTTAAAAAAGGCAGGTAAAGTCAGTATTGGCTATTTTCTTACAATTAGAAAGAATACAAAAAGTATAAAATTACACATTAACTAAAGAAGTTTTTCAATCAAAGATCATCAATATTCCTGTTTAGTATTCATTTGGTTAGGATAGTACACTTTGGCTAAGCCCTGTGTTATGGTTCATGCACACACAGATTTAAAACTGAGAGTGAGCTGCTCCTATATAATTTCTTTAATTGGCATTGAGTCAAAGCTGTGAAAAAGAAAGTGTTTCTACAGACTGTTCCATTGCCACCTGGTGAGCCTGTAACCACAAATGTGCTAGCTTAAGAAGATGGTGACCCTGCAGTGCCACTTTGTGGAAACCAAAGACATCAGGAACCAGGAGTCACCCAGACTGGTGGTGGTGAAGCCCTGTCTGACTGGCATATGACTTCAATTCAAAGCTTTTTCCATGCTGCACCTTTGCTTGCCTTCACAGGCTTCACAGGAATGGAAACTGGCTGGAGCTGCAGAGATGGCTAGAAAACAAGACAAAAGAGAAAGTTAAAACTTCCAGGTTTACACTCAGACAGTGGAGTTTGGAGGGAGTAAAACTCCAACACAAACAGAAGAGCAAACGCTTTCCTGTGTGCTAGAGAGGGTAATCCATTTGATAGATTATTTCTTGAATGCTGTTCCTTCTCAGATGTGGAATATCAGGTATCAAGTAACAAAAATGACCGTGAAATCCCTTCTAGGGCTCAGTTTAAAAAAAAAAAAAAAAAACAACCGTGCTTCAGGAGCCAACATTCATTCTGACTGCAGACAAAGGATGTTTTTTTTTCTATTGCCATGTAGCTGTGCATCTGCAGAAACTGAAAAGATGTAGGAAAACTTTGGAAGCAAGGTGTGATTTCCTTGCGATAGGAGATAGATATCTTTTCATAGACAAGTTGACTGCATATTTGGAGCTTTCATTAGTGCTGCTAAGTCATGATGGAATGATACCAGATGGCAGATGAGACATATGGCCCACATTTGGGCTTCATTTCTGTATGGTTCCAGCTGACCAAATTCAGCAGGGAGGCTTTTAAAAAACATTAAATGTATCAGAGTTCCTCCACACGGCAGCCCATTTAGTTTAATCTTAGCTACAACCATGATGAGCATTTGGAATAAAAGTGAGTCTGCTTAAGATTCTGTCGTGATAGTGTGCCGCTTGGATGAAAGTGTCATATAGTAAGTACGTATTTGTGCATCAGTCATTTAATTCGAACATTAAAGGTCCCCCATAAATGCTTGGGAGGTTGAGAAGTTGATTAATTGGTTCTTTAACTTGTCTTTGATTTCCAAAGCTGTTGCTTTTCCATGGAAGAATACTCTAATTGTCATGATTTTTGTCAACTACAAATCCATGTCATGGGGATTAGGGGCATGTGGAAGATGCTATTAAGTTGCTTATGACTAACAAGCCAATGAGACTGAACACCAGTTTCTTCCTCCAACATATTTGGATTGAAATAATTTTTTTCTATGATTCAGTGCAACCCTTTATAAAAACAAAGAGGTGGCCTCTTGGTTTACTAAACATGAAAGTTCTTGGGGGTCTGAGAAGAGGCTCTGGCCTTGGAGCTGAAGTATTTGGTTCTGAGCCATGCATTATAACTACATCCCTCACCTTTATAGCATTCCCCTTGCTGTCTTTGAAGTCAATCATCTGAGAAATAGGACAGTAACTCCAGGCACACGCATTGTAAGAAAAGAAGCAATTTATATGTTGAAAGCATACAGAAGTTATTTTTACTTGCCATTAGTAAACTCCTTCAAGTTCAATTCTATTCTTTCCCTGGGCCAGAAATAACTAAACTCACAATGGGATGTGTTAAATTAATAGCTGGGAGTACAATCTCAAAATAGTGATATGCGCCTTTCGAGCTTGGATATGCAACTTCTTTCTGCTCAGGAGAGTGTCTTATTGGGTCTTCTGGGAGACAAGCTGTCCTTTCAACGTTGGTGTTAGCAGATGTGGTTTGAAATAGCCTATCCCAGTAAAAACCTGACACATGTAGCATGCTTTCCTACTTGGTACCAACTAGCCTTAGTTTATTAGCCCTTTTCCACGATAGTACTAATTGACTCATTCTGAGCCTTTCAGTCTTGATTCTACTCCAAGTTGACTGAGAGAACAGTCCTTCAAGAATTTAAAACTATCCAAACTTCAATCTCAGTGGTTTAGAGTCTCCTGTTTGTACCCTACTCAAAATGATGGTTGGCAATGGTGATTTCCCAGTCTTGACAAAGCCTCTGCCATCATGAGCATTGGATGGTTATTCGTCAATACCTAAGGGAAGTGTGTTCAGGCATGCACTGACATACTGTTGCTTTCTTCCGCAGCAACACCCCTGAGTTCACTTAAGGCCCCTCGAGTGGACACGGCTCCTGTGGTCACACCTCCCTATCAAAGGAGAGACTCAGACAGATACTGTGGCCTCTGCGCAGCCTGGTTTAATAATCCTCTGATGGCCCAGCAGCATTACGATGGCAAGAAACACAAAAAGAATGCAGCACGGGTTGCCTTACTAGAGCAGCTGGGAACATCGCTGGATCTGGGGGAACTGAGAGGTAAGAGAAGTCCCTTCATCATTTCTGCATTAGCCTTGTGTTTTCTGAAAGCAGAATGGTGGCTTGTGGTGTGGTGCTTTAACACTAAAGGGAAGCATGAGACTCTATAAAGGAATGGCTATGAGAGGAAATAAGCTAGCTTTAGCATGCCTTTTAAGAGCATCTTTGTTTTAAAGTACTTATTTCTATATTTTTATTGACTGCTTTTTAGATCAAAGAGGCAGATCTACGAACCATTTTCTTTCTGTCTTCTGTTAAGCTCCTTCTCTGGTGAATGCTTTTGTGGATGAGTAGTAAAAGAGAAGCTTAAGGTCTGTTATGCTGTCATATGTAAGGTTGTGTGCTATGTGTTCAGCCAAATGAAGCAATGGTGTGCCCTGTGGCTCACTGCAGCCACCACCTGCCTCCTGCCACTGGGCAGGGGCTGCTGGGAAGCATCTGAAGTTCATGAGGGTTTTCTCTGAGGCTCCAGCAGAGGCTTGGAGAATGTGGAGTAGTGGTAAGTGCTGCAAGTGGGTGCTGTAGGGACTCAGTGAGGTATCCTCTCCTCAATAGTCACTTAAGCATTTTTGATCACATAAACATTTTGTTATTGGCTTGATTTTGACAGTGTAGCATAGAAACAGATCAAAGTTTCATACTATGTATTTTATTGCTATTTCTTCCAAAAATGATGCCATGAAAGGTCGTATTGATCCCATGTCCTCAGCCTGGCACATAATATTTTAGATGTGGTTTTATGAACTGACCAGGAGACCATACCATAGATAATAACACTTGTAAGTTATTGAATACAAAACTTTACAAACCAGTTTTGAGAAGTCCACCTGGTTTCAACTGAGTTCTGCAAACAGAACCTATGATTTTTATCCCCCAATCTGGCATTTGACCCTGATGAGGGAGGGATGCTTCTGACAGTAAATTACCTTAGTGACTCTTAATTATGAAAGTGTGATCAAAGGCTATGCTGTGAAGTTCACTGAGAAAGTCTTTGCCAAGGAAAAGGACTCAAGTTGGAGCTAGACATGTGAGCAGGCAAGAAGGCTATGCCAGCAAAATCATGGGTGTACCAAGAGGTGCAGTACATATAAGCAGGAAATGGGTGTCTAATGCATGGTTCTGGAAGATTCTTAGACTGCTGCATGGACCTGAGTTTCAGGGCCCAGGATATACCTGCAAAGCTGAAGTTGAAGCTGATTCTTTAAGGGTTGAACAGTGCCTAAGAACATATGTGTAAGAGCTTTGCTTAATTTCTTGTGTGGTTTCTAATTACAGAAAAACCACACAGTTCTTACTATTTCAGTTTGTTAGCTAACTTCACATTGTAGAAGGTGTTGAGTCACTGGCACGGCTGCTTTTTGTTGGGTGGGATTTCTGGTGGTGAAAGTCTCTGTCTTATATACAGAAGTCAAGGCTATCCATAGCTGAGAACCACCCCACAAAGTTGCTATTAATGGCAGATAACAAGTTGGCTTTGTGGCTCCTTCATGGCCTGACACTAGAATAAAAAAATGAAGATTTATTTGTTGTCTGTGCCAGATACCATGGCAAGAAGAATTATTCCTACAGCATATTCTTCTTGTCTAGTTTGAATTATCTGCACTGCATCTTTTATGTGCAACCACATCTTAATGACTTGGGCATCAGATTCTCTTGCACTAGAGTGGCTTGTCTTTGATATGAAGACAGAAGGATGCCCTTTGTCTTGGTACCTTTACTTTGCTCCATAGCATAAGGAGTGCCATCATTGGATCCACCTTTTGTCTCACACCAGTTGATGCTTTATATATATATATATATATATACATATATACATATATATATATATGTATATATATATATATGTGTATATATATATATGTGTGTGTGTGTGTGTGTGTGTGTATGCATATATTCAATGTCACATGCTGTTGTGGAATAAAGAAACCTTGGGAAATTGGCATGTTTTCAAAGATGCACTTGTACATGCTATTTCTGACATAACCTTAAAGCATGACCAATTAATAAGGCAAAGATGCATCATAAGTATAGGCATATCATAACTTTAAAAATTGTCATCAGTAAGATGGAGGATGATGACAGTGTTGCTATGGGCTAGCTTTTTCATCTCTAAAAGCATGTCATGGTTTTAAATAGTACACTAGCTACTGATTATCATGATATTCCTTTCTTTTAAATATTTCTTCCTATTCTCCATATAGATTGTTAGCAACTTGAAAGCTGACTCTTTTGTTAGTTTTCCAAGTTGACATGAAATTTCAAAGCATCTAGAATAGTGGAAGACATGTAATGGTTACTCAATAATTACTGAATGAATATCAGAGAAGCCCAAACAAAAATAAACCAAAAACACCTGGCCCACAATTCTGCATGCCTTATTTCCAAGAGGTCCCTGATTGAATAATTTTCATAAGATATCCTTTACTATTCTTCCTATTTTAAAAATGATGTATATTTTATATACACTTAAGTGAACATATACTGTTATACTTTTGAGTTTTGATACTGCAAGTACTGGTATAGTTTGCACTCTTAATGCTCAGACTTTTTTATATCAGGAGAAATGTTTGTAGATGTTCCTGGAGAGTCCCAGTCCTCTGATCCCACATGTACCCCACACATGAATACACTCATGCATAGTCATTGTTTATACCTGTGACCAAAGATGCTCTTGGCTTTTCTTTTATAAGATTCATAGTTTTAGCTATTATGTTTTATAGTATGATATATCTCAAATGAACTTTTTGTTTAGTTTGAGGTATAGAGTTGAAATAAATTTTGTTTCCATTCATTTGCACAGTGATTCTGAAATTTTTATTAAATATTTAATTTCCATTCCTGAATTGCCTTGAATTACTTTATTGAAAACTGTCATTTATGGAGCTAGAGAGATGACTCAGAAGCTAGGAGCCCTCACTGATCCTGCAGGGGACATGGGTTTGGTTCTAGCATCTACATGGTAGCTCATAACCTCTGTAAGTCCAGTTCTAAGTGCGCCAATGCCCTTTTCTGGCCTCTAAAAGTAGTGTGCACACATGGTGCTAGCAAAACACTTAGACATATAAATAAAATCAATAAATACAACCTTTTAATGAGAAAAATCTGGTGTTTATGTATGCATTTATTTCTGGACAACTGTTTTCTCTAGGGAACCTCATGGTCTGGCACACTGGGCTGATTGTTTAGCATTAGAGAAATCCTGACATTAGGTATTACCTGGTCTCCAGCTTGAAGATAACATGGCTAGTCTAACTCCTTTGCACTGTGTAAGGATTTTGGAATCAGCTTTTCAGTCTGTAGGTAGAAAGCTATCTGGACAGTTGAGTGAGATTCAAGTATCTGCAGATCAGTGTGGAAGAATTAAATTATTCAAAGCACAGAGTCATATGATCTGTGAACACTTTCTCTATACTTGTGACTTTAAGGTCTATCAATGGTGCTTTAGAGGCAGGGCAAATGTTTAGTTTTGTGCATCGTTTGTTGAATTCATGTTGAATATTGGGTATTGTTGAACCTATTACAAAGTACATATATATTAATGTCATTTAATGTATTTGTTGTTAATATTTAGACACTCTTATACATTGACTTCAATCCCTATGACTTGCATATAATTTTCTACCTACCTGTTATTTTCATATAATTTCATAATACAAATAATGTACACTGTCTGCTATGTTTGGTGTTCATTGTATGTTGTCACTGGAAACATTGTTCTGCCTTCTGGCAGCCTCAAGTAACAGGTAAAAAATTTAAAAGCCAATTTCCTGTGAACTAACCAACCATTAGAAATAGGATTGGCTTAAATATTAATTGGCATGTACAGTCAAGCACAGACTCTGGTGTTATTTTTTTCTAAGAAAACAAGTGATAGCATTTCTACCTCTGAATTATAATTTAACAAGGAAAGCCTGTCTCTCTTACTGAATATGAAATCTACTCTAAAACCAACTATCAGAGTATGAGATTATGAAATTTAATGGTTGGAAAGTACCCTAGAGTTTTTCTTTATGGTTTAATTTTTTTGAGTTAGCATAAAACATCTATAGAAGGCACTTTCTTATTTAGAAATTGTGGCAGCCTATATTCTGAAACTATGACTACTTGTGTATAGAATATTCATTTTATACATTTTAATACTTCCTTTAAAAGCTTCAGAATGAAACTTAGCCCAGGTTTATTTGTTGTTTTAGAGGACTCTAGATTCTTCTGCTGTAATTCTGTCTGAAGACACAGCTTTCAAGCACATTTGAAAATTTAATAATGCTTCCAAGAATCAGAAGAGTAATAGTCCTGTAAGACACATTAAATATCATTGAATAATACATGTCCTTTCTTTTTACAGATTGAAGCTCTGAAGTCTAGAGCTGTCAATGGGCTTTTCTCTTTTGAGTTGCTAGCAAAGCCATAGGTCTAAGCCCCCGATAGCAGGTGTACCCATCTCCATGACTCAACACCTCCTGCTACAGATGCACCCATCTCCATGACTCAGCACCTCTGCTTTGCAGGTGAACCCATCTCCATGACTCAACACCTCCTGCTACAGATGAACCATCTCCATGACTCAGCACTGCAATACTAGAACCCTGAACAATTCACTCTTCTGTGTAGAAGGTTGAGGTTGTGCAACAAAGATATTGTGAAATACATTTTAAAGCCTTGCTTAGACCACAATTATATAATAGCACAATTAACTCAGTTTTCCAGAAGTAGATTCTTGGCAAAATATATGGTATACTTTTAATAAGTTTTCATATGGAGTTTATGACTCTATGTGAACTGGAATAAATATGGAAATGCAAAGAAATTACTCTTCCTGGAGGTGAGGGCTTGAGAGGCACAGGTCTTTGAGGAGCTGTTACATTCTAACTCTCTCTATAATTGCAGCGACTGTCTGGATTGGCTGTAATGGGGATTGATTTCAAGGGGAGATAGCAACTCAAGTAGGACTTCACATTACAAAAGCGGAATATGAGTCAAAAGAAGCAGATTTTCCTCAA